ACAACCGCCTAGGGCTCACCCTGCGGGTCTGCTGTGTGCACCTGCACCCTAACCACCACCCCAGCGGTCTTGGGAAGACCCAGTGCTTGTCCCCTGCTGGCGAGGCTCAGGTTCAACCTGCGCCTTCTTCAAGCTACTGCCATCTCCTGCACCCCTCACCTGGGAAGATAAGCACCCCCCTCTTCCGCTCAGACACACCCTTCCCTACTTACTTTTCATCTTCTCCCTACCCCTGCCCTGGCCCAGCCACCAGCCTGCAGGAACTTGAGCTCGTGGGAAAGGCTTGCCTCTCCTCCCCACAGGCTCCCTAAGCCCCCACACTAATTAGTCTGAGAGCTGCTGGGGAGGAGAGAACAGGGAGGGAAACGGCACACCTGGAAGGCGCCCACCAAGAAAAGATGTTTGGAGCTGAGGCACCGTCCCCATGGGGGCCCAAGGGTGTGGACCCTCCTAGAGCTCACTGTCCGCCATGGGGACACACACGGAGCCCGCTCTCCCACCCGGGACCCAAAGCCCTGGCCCCTCCACCTGCCTTCATCAGAGAAGGCAGTGCCTTGGGCTGACCAACGCTGAGGTCAGGAGTGAGGGGACAGAGGTAACTGTCTCACATCCCCACCGCGATGTGAGCTGTTCAGCCGCCCCCGCCTGCCAAGGGCTCGGTTCCCCAGTCTGTAAAGCCGAGGGGTGCTCCAGTCCCTTACTTTCGAAGGTTCCCACAGTTTTAACATGCTGGGATTCTGTTTTTAGTTTCTCCTCCTAACCTTCATGGAGCCTATGCTTTCAGCCTCACACCCGCTACCTCCTCAGGGACCCCCGCACACCGGGACAGTCACTCACCCACCATGGTGGTCAGGGTCCCAGCGGCCGGGTGTCTCTCCGGCAAGAGGCTGCTGCCGACTCGTCCCTTCTTTGGCTTCTCGGCCTGGCGCCTCCTTTCTGCTTCCATGGCTCGCCGCGGGGACCAAGTGTCCCTGAATCTGTGACTCAAGATTTCTCTGCTTCCGCAGCTCCTCTCCACACCTGTTCTCTCCCCTTCTCCCCCTGCGAGTGCCACCCTCTGGGTCTCTGTCTGAATGTGTGTAGGTGCAGGTAGCTATCTCTGACTTTTCACTGTCTTTACCTTTTTTCTAATTGTTTCCTAATTCCCCCTTCCTTGGCTTGAGTGTCATCTCATTCTCCTGTCTCGGCCTCACCTGTTGCTCTGTTTCTGACTCTACTTTTCTCTGCCTGGCCCTTCTCTCCACCGGGATGCCGCTCTCTTCTGTCAGCTGCCTACTTTCCCATTCCACCCCCCAGTCTTGGAGGAGTGACCTCCTCCTCGCCCCTGCGGGCCCCTCCAATCACCACACGGTCGCCAGAGCCCCCTTGCTCAGGGAGGATCACAAGCCGGATGAGGGAAGGTGTTCTGTTGGAGGGTCCAGGGACTGGGGCCAAGGGCTCGTATTCCCAGAGGACGGGATTCTTTTGTCCTATTAAATCCCCTCCTGGGAGCAGGCAGGGGGAGGAGGAGATGATGCATTCCTCCTGAGACCCCCTCCTCACAACCCCACTGTGGGGAGAGGAACAAAGAGCTGGGGAAAGGGACCCAGGAGTGGAGCCTGCCTGGCATCTCAGCATGGGGGTGACACCCAAGGACCTGTTTCCAGGAAACTAAAAAAGAAGAAGTCACAAGTGCACGCCAGCCCCTCTCAGACACCCTGATAGTTCAGAATACACCAGCCAGTGCTCAGGCCAACCTGAACCCACTCCGGAGAATGGGCCTCCAGGACACCTTAGCTCTCAAGTACTGTCTGATTTCCTCCCTCAAACACCACCTCCTCATTCACCCGGAACCCTCAGGACACCATGACCTTCCGAGGTCACCCAGACCCTCCGAAAACGCTGACCTGAACATCTGCATTCCAGGTGCATCCTGACCCCCCATCCTGCCCCAGACTTCAGGACTCGGAAAGTGACTGAGATTCCCGTGGCATACTACATTCTGATTCTTCAAGGAAATCCTGACACCGGGAATCCCTGAGCAGTCGGGACAGCCTGGTCCCACAGTAGTCTGTCCCTTGAGGTTACTTAGACCCAGGAAGTATATTCTGACATCCCCAGGACACCCTGACCGCTTAAGGATGATGCGACAGCCCAGGACCTTAGGATTCTCCGGGACACGCTGACACCCAGAACACTTCACCTCTACTTCTCAGGACACATGGACCCCCCCCGGAACACGCTGTACCCACAGGACAGTCTGATTCCCAAGGTCATGCCATCATACAGGTCCTTTAAAAACACCCTGATGATTCAAGACAGGAAATCATAATCCTTTAGGGTTTCGATGCTTACGGTGGTGTCCATGGATCAACAGCAGCAGCAGCAACGGGAGCGTGCTGGAAATGCAGATCCCCGGGCCCCACCTCCGTCCTGCTGAGTCACAATCTCCCCTGTACCAGGATCTCCAGGAGAACCGAGTGCACGTGGGTCTTGAGTCAGCTGGGGCTGCCATGACGAAATAGCACAGACTGTGTGGCTTAAACCGTAGACTTTTGTTGCTCACAGTTCTGGAGGCTGGGAAGTCTAAGATGAAGGGGTCCGCCTATTCGGCTCCCCTGTGAGGGCTCTCTTCCTGGCTTGCAGAGGGCTGGCTGCCTTCTCACGGTGCCTTCATAGGGTGGAGAAAGAACCAGCTCTGGTTTCTCTTCCTCTGCTTTTCAGGACACTAATCCCATCATGGGCCCTCACCCTCAAGAGCTCATCTAAACCCAATCACCTCCACAAATCCCCACCTTCAAATACCATCACGTCGGGTGTTAGGACTTCAACATAGAAATTTTGGAGGCACACAAAAGTTTAGTCCATAACGTTAAAGTTGAGCAACACTGCTCTTAATATTAATCCTTCTCCCCTGCGGCCTCCTGGAGCACCTGGACCCCACGGCGGTCCTAACCTAGCAAGACCCAGTGACGCGCAGTCAGCTCAGACTCACAGGAGAACACTGAATTCCAATGCACCCTGCTGCCGGGGGTGCCCATGCTGGTCCTGTCAGGTCCTTGAATCACAAGGGCACTGAGGATGCATTCACTCTCTAGGACACACAGACCCTCCCAGAGGCTCCGACCT